GCAACACGTAAGCTACCACAGTACAACAAACTGACAGATGAGTGGTGGTCCATGTGTATAGTCATTGCTTATGTTCTTCATAAAAGGTATTTGTAATGAATATATCATTGGTCTTACAAAATTCTATCATGCAATTTCTAGTGTCATTCCTATAACCAAGGCCATATTCTCCAACTAATAATCCTTTTTTGTTTCCAACTTTGACATTCTACTCGCCGGTAATTATGAATATATTTTGACTGCATATTTGGTCAATTTCGCACTGTAGAAGTGGGAAAAATTTTTCAATTTTTTTATTGTTGGCATTAGTGGTTTGTGCATAATTTTGAATAATAGTATCATTAATTGGTATTCTTTATAGGCATTTGGCTATTACACTATCACTGACAGCATTGTATTTCAGGATGAGTTTTGAAACGTTCTTTTGATGTGAGGCCATTCTTTAATTTTTATTCCCAGCATAGGAGATTGTGTTAGGCTGGGTTGTCTTGAGAAGCAAAACTAATAAAGCTTATATATACATATAGAGAAAGAGAAATTTATCTTAGGAAAATGGCTCACACACTTTATAGAAGCTGGCAAGTCTTAAGTTCTTGAATCAAATGTCAAGCTGGAAGTTTTCCTGACTCATGCAGCTGCAGGGACTGAGTAGCTCAAAGCTTGCAGGCAGTATATTGGTTGTTGACTCCAACGCATGATGAATCCAAAATCTTCAGGCCGAATGGTGGATTGTTCATTCGCAGCAGCACAACAGGATCCCGATCCACAAAAGAGTGTCTCTTTTCCCAGGATGTCCATAAATATATTGGAAGCAGGTCACACCCCTAGGGAAACTCCCTTTCTATGGATTGTCTGCTCAAAACATATACATCTGATCCCATTATGGGAATAACCCACATCACAATTGCTTAAGCCACACAAAATTGTGGTCCAGACAAGTTGACACAGCTCTAACTGTCAGAGAGACCATGTGATTTTCCTATTCGAAATGACCAACACCATTCCATTTCAGCTCACTAGTGCCTAAGATACTGATTTTTATGTGTTCTGTTTCACTTTGACAACTTCCCATTTTCCTAGATTCATATTTTGTATATTTTACCTTGCATGTTTATCAAAGCACGTTTGCAGCTGTTTCTTTACATTTGGATTCATGAGACATCAACAAAAGAAGATCCTAAAAGCATTACTCCATCCATTTCATTAAGATCAGCTCCAATTTGAGGAGACAACTCTTCTCCAGTTGTATTTTGAGTGCCTTCCAACCTGAGGGGCTCATCTTCAAACATTACATAAGACAATGTTTTCCTGTTTTCAGTGGCCAATTTTTTTTTTTTTTTTTTTAGAAGTGGACCTGGCCACATCATTATTCCTATTCTGTCTTAGCGTGGAAGCTCCATTGAAACCTGTCCTCATGGATGACTCTGCTAGTATTTGAGATGCCAATGGCATAGCTTCCAGCATCACAATGACAAACTGACAAACAAATGGAAACATTAAATACAACTGAAGAAGTAATCATCATGCAAAATTTGTCTAGGGTACCAGCACACCACTGTTAAATAAATATTGAAAAATATTTAAAGAATTTTACTAAGAAGAATCCCCTAATATTAACCTTTTCTTCTGTGACTAAACACCAAACTAACCCTCTTCCCTTCCTCAGGCTTTCCTAATATACCTAGTACTTCCTATTAGTATGAGAATTTAAAAATAGAAATAATAATTTAAGCATAGGCATAAATCACAAGGATACTTCAACAAAACACTCAGTATGGTCCAGTTCTTCAGAAATTATATATCATCTTTAATATCCTCCAACTATGAAGCCAGGAGGACAGTGGAGTGGGGGTGGAGAACAGAGGATGAGAGAAGATTAACTTTTATAGCTGAAGTCACATACATAGCTTTTGCACTCTGACATCAGTATATTTATTTTTATTTGAAGTCTCTAGTAGCTCTTTATAACTGAACTATCCTGTCTGTTAACAAGGGTTACACACTTTATCCACACAAATCATAAAGTCCCTGTGAAATTTTAAGCTTTAATAACTTACGAACTATTTGAACTGTAAGTGATATATGAAAGCAGTATTCAAAAATTTTTTGCACTATAGAGTTCAAATAACTTCTAGGCATCCATATAACTACTATCTTTCAGAAAGCAATGTCCAATTTCACTTTTCATATGTATTGAAAACCTCCCCAGTTGTCATTGAGTGATTTATAAATTAAATTCACATTCTTAGTTCTTTACCTCCAAATGGTTTAGCTTTGATGAAAAGACATACATGTTTGCATAACCTCACTGGTAGGAACAAGGCCACAAAGGGGATAAATTGAAACTTTATAAAATATTTATAAAATATTCAGAATATATTTAAAGTATATATTCTCAACATTTTATATTCAGTAGGAATATATTTCCTTGTATGCAAAATACATTACTAGCCAAAGTGATTTATGTCTGTTCTACTTTTCTGTATCATATAGAATTTTTATGATAATTGTTGTTGCTAGTTTCAATTGAGATGATTTCAGAAAAATAAACCTACTGCCATGGAGTTGGATCCGACTCATAGTGACCCCTCCTTGGGTTTCCAAGGCAGTAACACTACAGAAGTAGATTGCCCTATCTTCCTGTTGTTGTTGTTGTTATGTGCCATTCCTAGTGCATTTTAAATGTTTTCAGAGTTTTCTTGACTGTAATCTTAATGGAAGCAGATTGTAAGATGTTTTTTTCCATGTTACCACTAGGTGGGTTCAAACTGAAAATAACTTAGTATTTCCCTTAATATGTGTGTGTGTGTATTTGTAGATTACATATACATATATTATTAAAAGCAAAATCCACTGTCATCAAGTGAGTCATGACTCATAAAGACCCTATAGGACCAAGTAGAACTGCCACAGAAAGTTTCGAAGGTTGTAAATCTTTATGGAAGCAGACTGCCTTATCTTTCTCTTGTGGAGTATGTGGTGGTTTCAAACTGTCATCCTTCTGGTTAGCAGCCCTATGCTTTAACCATAGTGTCACTAGATCTTTTATTATTATGATTACTATTTGATAATTATTTCTTTAATATATTATTTAATGATATTTATTTAAGTACATGGGCATGATTTCTAAAAGCACATTTTCTGAGGAAAATATTTGAAGGTAGGTTAGACAGTGGGTCATTTTCACTATATATTTTATCTAATTATCTGATAGATTTTCTAATCTCCATCAAAATTTTTTTAAAAAATCACTTTATGAAAGCAGACAATGCTAGTAACTTGCATTTTTCCAGTATTAAATATGTGATTTAAGTGATACAGCCTCTATATTTCACACAAAATTCCTTTGGTTTGTATATTCGTTCTTTGCAATGTAACATATAAATATATTTTAGGAAATTAAAGGGGTAAGAGAATGTTACTTAAAGTAACAAAGAAAGTCTATCTTTTAATAGAGGTTTAATTATTTACATTTTTAATAATAAAACATAGTTTAGAGCACTCTAGCTAATTTTAATTCAATAGCATCATCATTCAAACAATTGCTCCTTAAATTAGATTAAAGATATTTTTGCATCCTACACACCTGTCAACATCCTTCTTTCTCTTCATTACTCATTAAATCATCTCATTTCTGAATACTGAAGAGGTTTACAGTGAAATATTTTCAGAGCATGGATCTTGCAGTATGAAATAATTAGAAATGATTTATAAATGTTATGATAAATTGTTATTTCTATTTCATTTTTTGAAAAATATAATGTTTGCAAGAATGTTTTCTGGAGAAGTCTTTATTAAAGGGAAAAAAGTATGACTAGGAAACTATTTGGCAGTATTGTGTGCTATTGAAGAAAACTTTTAAGAACTGAAACTGATCTCTTTAGACTCAAGGAAAATAAAGATCTAGATAAATTAGGACTTCATTTATTTTTCAAAACATGCTTTATCTGTGAAGATATAATCTCTTTCAAAGCTATATGGTCATTACAAATCAGATGCAAAGAACCCCATTGTGGTTCTCAAAATGTATTTACATTTGTTTATAAGTATGCAAAATAAAGCCAAAATATAAATGGTGAAAAGTTCCTCAGTTTCCAGAAACAGATCTTCCAGAAGTCTCCAAGATGTTTAACATGCAATACATTCAGAAATATACTTAAAGGTTTTAAGTGCCAAAGGTTAGTAATACACACAAAAAATAAAATAAGTATTTAGTTAGGGTGACAGAAGCATGAGTGATAGTTTGATTTTGTTTGTTTTTGCTAAGTTATCTTGATGATGTCTTTAAATTATTTGTGCAATAATATGGAATTATATTATGCATTTTCATTAAAAGGGTTCCTATTGCATAAAACAACCTCCAACTTCTAAGATAAAATAGTATATTTAATTTGATAAAATATTATAGAATATTTGAAAACATCTTGTAAAATATGAAGTACTACTCAAAGGTAAATTGATCAAAATTTGTTTCCTTATAGTATCAGGTCAATGAGATATTATTGTGTTTTTGTCCCAGGAATATCAGCTTTATGTGTCAGAAGAAATACTTCAGTGTTTTACTAAGATAATTTTTATTATATATATTCTTTATATATAAATATATATATATGTAATATATACAATATATCATATATTATGGGAGCTCTGATGGCATAGTGCCTTAGGCATTTGAGTGCTAAACAGAAGGCTGGTGGTTCAAACCCACCAGCCACTCCCTGGAAAGAAGGTTGGGCAATCTACTTCTGTAGTGATACCACCTTGGAAACTCAAGGAGGAGTCACTATGAGTCGGATCCGACTCAATGGCAGTGGTTGCATTTGCATTGTTATTTTATATTATATATAAAGTATATAATATTTATGTAAAATATATATTATATATTCCTTACCTAAGTATCACAAAAACACAACCAAGATTCTTTCAGTACTTTTTTTCTTAAAACAGTAGCATTGGCAGTATTATCAGAAGACCCACATATAATTCAAAACAGTAATTACCTTGGTAAACAAAATGGAATCCCCTGGCAGATGCACCACTTTTTGCACTGAATCGTAGCAGAATTTGATTTGACGTAGCCAAAGGCAATGTTTCCCCTAGATGTAAAGACAAATAATACTTGGAATTCAAAATATGCATAGCACTCTGGTGGATACCATTTTGGAAATAATCATTAATTTTCAATTTCACATTTAATATTTCAATGTGTCTATATGAAATAGGCAAATGTATAGAGATATGTTTAATAGTGTTCAACAGAGGCTGAGAGAAGGGAGTAATGGTGAGTTAGTTATTGCTTAATGAGTAATGAATTGCTGCTTTGGGATGATGAAAAATTTTTGCAAATAGTGTGATGGTTGCAAAATATTGTGAAGGCAACTAATATCACTGAGTTGTTCACTCAAAAGTAATTAAAATGGCAACTTCTAATTTTTATTTTCTTCACCTCAATAAAATAAATAAAAATAAAAATATGAATTAAAAATATACTTTGGTATTTAGGATCTTAAAATGCTGTACTTGCCTGTGCTTTCTATTAAAATATTATTTTAATCATTATCTCATTTCTACTTTCTTGTAAGAAAGCACTGATAACAAAACTATTAGCTGATAATATAGAAAATTTAAGTTTTAGATAAATCACTTACTGAGGATCACTTTAATAGCATAATTACTTAATAGAATTTTACTTAATATTGCTGAACTCAAAGCTGATTAAAAATTAGGAAAAAGCCTTCTGAAATGTATTTGTAACATTTTAAAGTACACATACATGGGCAGTAGTCTTTCTCAGATACAGCTGAGAAGAGTATGAAAGGGCATAACCTTTTCTGATACACATTTGTTAATAAGTATGTTGTTGCTGTTGTTATTTGCCATCGAGTCGCCCCCGACTCATAGGCATTTTAAATGTCCATCTTCTCAGGCATTTCTAGGAACATATCAGGATGTTGATAGTAAATAATGACAATGCAAAAGTTTGAAAAAGCTTTGGTTTATAATAGTGAAAACTGGAGATAACAGATTCTTAACCTTCATTGACTAAAGTCTATGATGGACATAGATAACTGTGCTTTTTAAATAAATGATGAAAATATAACAATAGTGTATGTAAATGGCTAAATGTACGTAGATAATTGTACATTTCTGGAAAATTATAAAATTCTAACAGTAGTACAGATAAAGGTCTAGGTCAACAGTGAGGGGCTGCTTTCAATAAATTGGGCTTCATTCATACAATACACAATACTCTTCAGAACTGAAAGTAATGGTGTTTCTCCTATATTCATATTCTTTTCATTAGGGAAAGATCTCCTCTAAATATAATTTAATCAAAAGTGTAGGATAAAAATAAGTTGTGCAGCAATATCCCATATTTTATAAAGTGCTGCATATGTTTACATGTATTCCTGTATATACATACATTCATGCATGTACATGCATACATACATACACACACACATATATAAAGCTTATGTGTATGTGTAATGGATGTCTATGTATATGTATATAAAATTTGGAATGATTCATAATGAAATGTTAATAGTTTTTTATGTCTAGAAGGATGTTTAAGACACAATAGAAAATAAAAAGACAAGATGTTTTTTATCCCTTTTTCTTTTTCTGGTATATGCCTTTTTTTACTTGAATGAAAATTATACTTTCCAAAATCTTAGTAAGTAAAATGATATAAGCAGGTGGTATTGTATGTGATATAAAACTACTTTTGAAATCTTACTTCTAAATAATTTGTTTACTAACCAAATCTGTTTACTAGGCTAATTTGTTTACTAAACAAATCCAAAGTTGATTACACTATTCATTCATTAAAAAATAAATAAATAAAAGTGTTGCAAATGAATCACCCAAGCTACCTAAATGGTATTAAAGACAAAATTCTTTGAAAGTTTACCTGAATGAGACCCAGACAGTGAGCTAAGAAGTCTGGCCTGGGGATGTGTTCCATCGAATAACTCTACCAAATCATTCAGTGTCGTCTGAAAATAGGCAAACTGTCCAAACACCACTGCAAAATAGATAAAGTGGGTGGGGAGGTACCATATGCTTAAAAAAAAAATGACATGAAAATTTTATTTCTACTATGTTTTTATTGATTCCCTAAAATATCATTATTCTAAGAGTCCTATAAGAAAAGTTATTTTCTCTGCTTTCTCAAAGTCTCAATAAAGCAAATGAATTATTCCTCTTCTTTACCCCTGAATACTTAATAACATGAGTAAAATTACTGCTTTCTATATACTTTGAACATTAAGACAAATAAACGTTTTTTCTTCTAAGTTTTATTGCTATTTTTTAAAGGAAAAATGAAAAATTTTCAGATCCATAGCTCTATTTTTAAATGAGAATAATATTTACCATTCAAATTATAGAATGCTAAATTGACTCACGTTTTGATTTTGGAAAAGCTAGTTCTCCTGCTCAGGTCTTCATGAACAGACATTGCGGTACAGTGAATTACTTGGTATGGCTTTTCTAGCCTCGTCTTTGTAACTTCTGCCAGTTTACTGCGAGGGACCATGCAAATAAGGTGTGTAGAACTCTCATGTTGGGAATGGTTAGTTTCATATGAGTTGGGTCCCACTCAACGGCACATAACAACAACAACAACAGAGGCAGAGAGGGGATCTCACTGCTATCAAGAGAGAAGGATTGGAGGTGAAGCAGAGTGCATCCTTGGACTGAAGATCCCTGCAATGAACCTCCTTTGCTGAAAGATGCCCCAGCAGAGACAAGCCTCAGCAGAGAGACAGTCCAGCTGGTGGACAGACGGTCGCAGCAGAACCAAGAGGCACAAGACAGAGTTGCAGGTTTACCTGGCCTACAGAGGTAGAAGCCAGGATAAGAGACCAAGGGCCACAGAGAAGTGTCTGAGGGGACAGCAAAGTGGAGACTGTCCTGATTGAAGAGTTGTATCCTGAGTGTCTTCCTGAACCTGAATTGTAGCCTGTTATTTCCCTAGTAAGCCCCATAATCATGATATTGTCTATGAGTTCTATGTGGCCATTGCAATGAATTATCAAACCCAGAAGAGAAGTAGTGAGTAGCATCAGAGCTATGGTTGGTGTCAAAGTTGATAAAGTCTGGTGGGTGGCAGCATGTCTGGCCTCATAGGAATAAGCCTGGTGCTGCTAATGGTGATTCTGTCTTCCTCTTGTGAAGTTAGAGGAGATCAGAAGACCATAATCTTTTTGCAGACATACTCATTATTCAAGTCTCAGATTATACTTTCTCTTCCAAAACAGCAAGAGATATTAGGAAGGTCCTATCCTAAAATGAAATAATTCTTAAAAACTGACCCAGACTAGAGACAAATGGTTTAGGTTTAGGAGATTTGTTAGTGTATGTTGTGAGGGAACTATGATCTATAATGTCTAACTCTGAAGAAAATGTTAAATTAAGGTTTCAAGATCCATGTAAATAATTATATAATAAAATTTGTAGAAATTATTTGTGTGCAATATGCAAGTTTTTGCTAAACAGTTAATTTTCTTCTTTTTTATTTTTACTCAAAAAAAAAAAAAAAATCTGATAGTGAAATTTGTAGCCTGCTTTGGTCTATGACTGAGTGCCTGTTGTTTTTAAAGAAAGGACGAATTTTGACTCTGAAGGATTTTGGTTTTAATGTTGGAAAAATAATATATTCTGTAAAACTCTCAAAGCTACTTACCTGGTGAATTGCAGAAAAGAATATAACACAAAATAAATATTTCTGGTCAAGAGTGAGAGTTGTTCCGTGTTGTCAAATGGGCTCCCACTCATAGAGAACCCGTGCACAACAGAACAAAACACTGCCTGGTCCTGTGCTACTCTCACAATTCCTGCTACGCTTTAGCCCATTGTTGCAGCCACTATGTCAATCCGTCTTGATGGTCTCCCCATTTCTCACTAACCCTTTGCTATACCAAGCATTATAGCTTTATCCAGGTAATGGTGCCTTCTAACCTCACTACCTAAGTAGGTGAGACAAAATCTGGCCATTCTCACTTCCAAGGAGCATTCTGGCTACTCTTCTTCCAGGACAGATTTTTTGTTCTTCTGGCAGTCCCTGATGTTTTCGGTATTCTTCACCAACACCACAATTCAAAGGCATCAATTCTTCCTCTGTCTTCCTATTCACTGTCCAGCTTTAACATGCATATGTTTTTGTTGTTAGGTGCTGTTGAGTTGTCTCTGACTCATAGCGACCCTACGCAGAGCAAAACGAAACACTGCCTGGTCCAGCACCAGCTCGTCGATCCTTGCTATACTTGAGCCCATCGCCACAGCCAATCTATCTCACTGAGGGCCGTCCCCTCTTTCATCGACCCTTCCTTCACCTTACCAAGCCTGACATCCTTCTCCAGGGAATGGACCTTTTTGATAACATGACCAGAGTAGGTGACACAAAGTCTGGCCATTCTTGCTTCCAAGGAGCATTCTGGCTGCACTTCCTCCAGGACAGATCTGTTAGTTCTTTTAGCAGTCCATGGTACTTTCAGCATTCTTCGCCAGCCCCCCAACTCAAAAGCATCAATTCTTCTTTGGTCTTCCTTATTCAGACAGAGCAAGCAGCAGCGGCAGGGATCTAGGTAAGGGAAGTATGATGTAGTAAATTACCTGGTATGGCTTTTCTAGCCAAAAGTCTTTGTAAAGTCCATGGTGGAATTTGCTGTGAGCAACTGCTGTGAGCAACTCCTGATTGTTAAAGTTATCCACTTGGGGTATTTCTGTTGGGAGCAGCACAAAGTAATCACCTGGGAAGTTCACTCTCTCTCAGTTGGATAGAATTCTAATGTTGGGATTGGTTAGTTTGACATTCTGCCAGGTTCAAAAGAAGCCCTCCTAGAGGCAGAAGAAATCTCTCACTGCCAGTTGGGAGAAACAAGAGATACACACTGCTGTGAGAGAGGCATGAGAGACACACACTCCTGGGAGAGACACACTGAGAGACATGCAGTGCTGAGAGAAAGACACCAAGAGACACACACTGTTGGGAGAGAGACTGAGACTATCAGCTGAGAGATGATGGGCTGAGAGAGACTGAGTGTGTTTCTGAACTTGAATTGTAGTCTGTTGCTTCCTTAATAAACCGCATAATCTGTGAGTTCTGTGGGGCCACTGCAGCAAATTATTGAACCCAGCAGAGAAGTGGTAAGTGCGGCAGGAGAACAGCTGGTCTCAGCGTTTTAGAAAGGGCTGGAAGGAGGCAGCATGTCTGGCCTCTCTGGAATAGGCATTGGGATACTCATGGTGATTCTGTCTTCCTCTTGTGGCGTTAGGGGAGGTCAGAATTTGCGGCCTTCCTGCCCCCTTGGCAGGGAGGGACCCAGGTCCCACCCTCAAGAGGTGGGACAGTGTGGGAAAGGAAAGCCAAGCCAGGGGGAGGACAGAGCAAGCAGTGGCAGGGATCCAGGCAAGAGGAAGGCAGAGAGGTTTTGAACAGCTAAGAGATACAAACTTGTCTGTAAGTTTGTCGCATTGTGGTATTGTGGTGGCTTGCGTGTTGCTGTGGGTCTTGAGGCTGTGCCACTGGTGTTTCAAACAGCAGCAGGGTTGCACATGGTGCACAGGTTTCAATACAGCTTATAGACTGAGACAGATTGGGAAGAAGGAAGAGGCCATCCACTTCTCAAAGAATTGGCCAGGGAAACCTTATGAATAGCGAGAAACATGCATATGAGGCAACTAAATAGACCATGGCTTGAGTCAGGCATACCTTCATCTTCAAAGTGAAATCTTTGCTTCTTAACACTTCAAAGAGGTCATTTGCAGCAGATTTTCCCAATGCAACATGATGTCTGATTTCTTGACTGCTGCTTCTTTAGGTGTTGATTTTGGTTCCAAGTAAAATGAAATCCCGGATAACTTCAATCTTTTCTCCATTTATTGTGATGTTGCTTATCCATTTGTGAGGATTTTCATTTTATTTATGTTGATGTATAATACATGCTGAAGACTATAGTCTTTGATTTTCATCAGTGAGTGCTTCAATTCATCTTCACTTTCAGCAAGCAAGATTGTGTCATCTACATAAGGCAGGTTGTTGATGAGCCTCCCTCCAATCCTGATGGCACATTCTTCATATGGCACAGCTCTTTGGATTATTTGCTCAGTATACAGATTGAATAACACACTTTTCCTGATTTAAAATCATGCTGTATCCCCTTGTTCTGTTCAAATGACAACCTCTTGGTCTATGTACACATTCCTCATGGGCATAATTAAGTATTCTGGAACACCCATTCTTTACAATGTTATCCATAATTTGTTATGACCCACACAGTTGAATGCCTTTGCATAGTCAGTAAAACACAGGTACACATCTTTCTTGTATTCTCTGCTTTCAGCCAAGATCCATCTGACATCAACAATGACATCCCTAATTCCATGTCCTTTTCTGAATCTAGTTTGGATTTTTTGCAGTTCCTTGTTAATATACTGCTCCAACCACTTTTGGACTACTTTCAGCAACATTTTATTTGCATGTGATATTATAATATTGTTTGATAAGTTCCACATTTCTGTTGGATCATCTTTCTTTGGAATGGGCACAAATATCAATGTCTTCCAATTTCTTGGGCAGGTAGCTATCTTCCAAATTTTGGGATTGAAACTAGTAAGTACCTCCAGCATCCATTAGTTAAAATATCTCAACGGATATTCCCTCAATTCATGGAGCTTAGTTCTTCTTCGAGCTCTGGTAGCATAATGGCTAAGGCATGTGACTGCTAACCAGAAGGTTGGTGGTTCAAACTCACCAGCCACTACTCGGAAGGAAGGTTGGGCAATCTACTTCCGTAATGATACTGCTTTAGAAACCCAAGGAGGGGTTGCTATGAGTCAGGTCCGATTCGACGGCACATAACAACCACATAATGAGTTCTTCATCAAGCCACTGAAGCTTCAACTGCTTCCTTCAATATCATTGGTTCTTGATGATATGCCACCTCCTGAAATAGTTACCCATTGACAATTTCTGTTATGTACTGTGATGCTGTGTATTCCTTCTATCTTCTATTGATGCTTCCTGCATTATTCAATATTTTGCCTATACTAACCAAAACCAAACTCACTGCCATTGAGTCTGATCCATTTCATAGTGACCCCTCCTTGGGTTTCCGAGGCTGTATCACTATTGCAACAGAAGGCTTGAATTTTTTCTTCAGTTTTTCAGCATGAGAAATAAAGAACCTGTTCTTCCTTTTAGGTTTTCTAATTCCAGATCTTTGCAGACTTCATTATAGTACTTTGTCTTCTCAAGCTGCCCTTGGAAATATTCTATTAAGCTTTTTTATCTCATCATTTCTTCCATTTGCTTTAGTTACTCTCCTTTCAAAAGTGAGAGTGAGAGTAATGATTCTCAAAACTAGTGTTGGGGTTCTCCAAGTGTGCAGCAACCAGGGAAAGCCCATCTAAATAAAGTCATTCTGGAAAACTGGCTCAAATTGGAAATCAGGTTTCACTATGAAGGTTGGGCAATCTACTTCCATAGTGATACTGCCTCAGAAACCCAAGAGGGGTTGCTATGGGTTGGGTCCGACTTGACAGCACACAACATCAATAACAACAAGTAAAATTCAGGTCTCTGGCTGCTTTTAAATTTCTAAGTTTTTAGATTTTGGGTCATTCACCTAGGGATTTCCATTATAATGTGATTACTATATTTATGTGTCAATTATGCATAAAGATACAAACTGTTCTTCTTATTCCCAAATTTCTTTGCAATTATCCTTTATACATGAACACAATCAACTGAAAGAATTATTTTGGAGGAAAATAAGAATGTCATCAAATAATTCTCTTTGATTATGCTGAATCAGGATCATAAAAGGGAATTTAAGAATTATATATCACATCAATAAAGAATCACAATTGATACTATGGAGGACATATCTAGAAAATGTTCTACTTCATTAAAGTTCACTTTCTTTTGCATTATTTCATTAAAAACAAGATTTTTTTTTTAATTATAGACAAATTAACACTTAAAGAAATATGACAAGTAATTAAAAGTAAAAATAAATTCTTACCAAATTCCTTTGGTACAGTTATCGAATAAAGGCATATTTGACCAGCCGTATAATTATGAGGGTAGTTTGGTGACAAAACGACCCCTTCTGATCCAGTGTACTGGCCTCCACAGGGTGCTGAAATTAAAATCAATCAAACATTACATGCTCTGCTATCATAATGCTGCATGTGATATGTGTCTGCCCTATAGCTTAAAGCATGGAATAAATAAGCAGCATGCTATGCTTAACTAAAAATTTGAAATATTAAACTTTATAATTTGTTTTACTTTTTAACCAAAAGTAATGGAAAAAGGAAAACAAAGATTTCCCAGGTTAGAATAAAAGTGATTCAACTCAGGTGGAATAATACCTAATACTATTTCTAAGAAATCTCTCAGGCATACTAAAATAATAATGTTAAAAAACTAAATATGCTAAAACAACTATGATAACAATAATAATAAACTAGTGCCATAAAGATAAATTATTAATTTGTCTTAACACAATGGTCTGATTGATATTATAATCATATTAACTTCAGAGATACTGAAGATTAATTGATTATTGCTTTTATATTGTTGTTGTGTGCTATCCAATGATTCTAATAGCAACCCTAGAAGACAGAATAGAGATGTCCCATAGGGTTTCCTAAACAAACAAACAAAAAAAAAACTCACTGCGGTGGAGTTAGATCCAACTCATAGCGACCCCTCCTTGGGTTTCTGAGGCGGTATCACTACAGAAGTAGATTGCCCAACCTTCCTTCTGAGTACTAATTTTCACAGAAGCAGATCTCCAGGTCTTTTCTCCCATGAAGCCACTGGTTGGTTTGAACCACTTACCTTTCAGTGAACAGCATAACACTCAACCATTGTACCACCAATAACTATACTATTAATATAGAACTAAGAGAAAATAGGAAGGAAGGTTGGGCAATCTACTTCCATAATGATACTGCCTCAGAAACCCAAGGAGGGGTTGCTATGAGTAGGCTCGGACTCGACAGCACATAACAACAACAACAACAAGAGAAAATAATCATAATAACCAGTTTGTTCTTTAGTTTAGCTTTATTTTAACTTGTCATGTCATAGATTAAGTCAAAGAGTAACATGTAAGTACTAATGCTTTTCATATGTCTTTTCTGAGGTCAATTTAAAAATGAAGAAATCTGTAACCAGAAATCTAGGAAAAACAAAATTGTGGAGTATAAATTTGTTCTGACTGACTACACATTTGTAAAGGCACAGCAAAGGACAGATCATGTTTGTACTCCAGAGAATTCTTAATATGTATATATATCCCCCTACTGCCATAGGAGCTCTGGTAGCGCAGTGCCTAAGGCACTTGACTGATAACCATAAGGCTGACAGTTCAAACCCACCAGCCACTCCTCGGAAGGCAGGTTGAGCAATCTACTTCCATAGAGATACAGCCTTGGAAACCCAAGGTGGAGTTGCTATGAGTCCGGTCTGACTTGACGCCACATAACAACAACAACTGCCATCTAGTGAATTACTACTCATAGCAACCCATAGGGTTTCCAAGACTGTAATTATTTATGGAAGTAGATTGCCTTATCATCTTGCCCTGGAACAACTGATGGGTTTGAACCACAGACTTTCTGATTAGCAGCCAAATGCATTAATTACTGCATCACTAGAGCTTCTGTGTATGCATATGTGCATTATATATATGTTTGTGTATCTATTTATCTCTATATGTAACAACTCTGATGGCATCATGCCTAAGGCATTTGACTGCTAACCAGAAGGTTGGTAGTTCAAACCCAGCCGCTCCAGGGAAAGAAGATGGGGCAATTTACTTCAGTTAAGATTTATCTCCTCAGAAACTCAGTGGGGGTCACTATGAGTCAGAAATGACTTGATGGCAGTGAGTTTGGTTTGGCTTTTTCATATATGTATATATGTGTATATGTGTATGTGTATGTTGTTGTTCTTATGTGCCGTCGTCAAGTCGGACCCGACTCATAGTGACCCCTCCTTGGGTTCCCGAGGCAGCATCGCTATGGAAGTAGATTGCCCCATCTTCCTTCCGAGGAGTAGCTGGTGGGTTTGAACTGCCAGCCTTCTGGTTAGCAGTCAAGTGCCTTAAGCACTATGCTACCAGAGCTCCCATGTATACGTATATGTTTATGTATATGCATATATGTATATATGTGAGAGAGATGAATTAGGAGCCTTGGTGACACAAGCAATTTATGGAAGGTTGGCAGTTTGAACCAGCCCAGGGGTTCTATGGATAAAAGGCCTGGTTATATGCTTTGTAAAGATCATGGTCAAGAAAACCCTATGCAGCAGTTCTGCTCTATAATACATGGGGTTTCCATGAGTTGGGGACTGACTTGGCAGTAGCTAATAAGAGCAACAACGTATATATACCAAACCAAACTCACTGCCATCGAGTCGGACCCGACTCATAGCGACCCCTCTTTGGGTTTCCAGGGCAGTATCACTACGGAAGTAGATTGCTCAACCTTCCTTCTGAGGAACAGCTGGTGGGTTTGAACTGCCAGCCTTCTGGTTAGCAGTCAAATGCCTTAGTCATTATTCCACCAGACCTCCTATCATATACATAGACACATATTTTTATTCAATATTTACTGAGTGTTTACAATGTGCAGGGTATATATTATTATTTAGAGATAAGTTATGGTTATAATTTAAGTAGAAATAATAGATAACCACCCTGTTTTCTTCTTCCTACCTTGATTTCCATATTGAGCACTTTTCTCCAGTCCCTATAAAATGCCAAATATGGCAGCCTAGATAACAGCTATAGCAGCAATGCTTACTACATACAGGTTTTCTCTGCTATCTATAAAACCTTTCTGTGCATTCTCAGACCCAAAATATAAAAATATAATCTACTAAATCATACCAAATAAGACATAAAACCTAATATAACATTAGCATATAATAACATAATTGATAAATCCATTGCCTATGTAAACTGGAAATAATATATATACAGTGTAGTTTCTGAAGAAGGAGCTTGGTGACTCCACTCTCACTGCTCAGAGTGTGCACTGCTTCTTTATTGGCTCTCTGAAAATTGTGAAAGTGAAAATCCTCTTTGAAATTCTTTCAGTTAGCATAAACAGGTACTACTACTAAGTCTTTCCTAAAACTCAAGTTGCCTGAAGAGAACATTCCAAAAGCAGGGGATACCTGTTTCTCTCCCCAGTACAGAACCTCTCAAAATATATTGGGGGCATAAGAGGTAGAATGACAAAAATGTGTGTGTGTGTGTATGTGTCTTTAAGGAATTTTGGTGGTGCAGTGCCTAAGGCATCTGACTGCTAGCCAGAGGTTGGCAGTTCAAACCCATAAATCACTCTGTGGAAGGAACATTAAGCAATCTACTTTTGTAAAGATTTACCACCTTGGAAATCCCAACTTGATGGCTGTGAGTTTGTTTTTTGTTTCTGGTTTTTCTTTGGGGGGTGGAGTGGTGAGGGGTATGTGTCTTTACTTTCTCCCTGATTATTTATGTGTTAGTTGTCTGGGTGAGAAAATAGTAAAATGATGTAGCATAAACATGATAATTTGTGTCTACGTCTACACATTCTTCCTCACACTTAAAAGATACGCACCAAAACAATATAATGTACTTCAGAGATGAAAAAACCATTAAGAAACTGAGAAAATATTTAGAGAATTTTTATTCAATATAATAACTATATTGTCTGTGTTGCTGTGTTAATCTTGAGAAACAAACATGGTTTTTCTCATGTTAGAATGTATTTTATATTAATGTGATAATAGAAGAAAAATAAATAAGTGCTCATTATTTGCAAATTAATATATTAAACAGATAATTTCCTAGACGAATTAAGACATGAAATGTCATTCAATACAGATGTTATCAAGAAAGTTGCTCATCCATTTGGATAATTGGAATATATGTCTAATATGTAAAGGCAACTGTACACAATCAAACTGAATGTGAACCAAAAACAACACAAGCAAATAAAAGCCATTTTGACCCATAAAAGAGCTCTGGGCTGTTTCAGTTTCTATTATAATTCCCCAGCAAACTTCACTGTACAAAAATGGTAGGAAATAGATGAACCACCAAATATATATATCATGATATATATATATATATATATATATATATATCTATATCTATATCATGTATTTAGAACAAACCAGGCCAAATGCACTGACAGCATACAATAGTATAAGAACAATTTAATTTTTAAAATACAGCAAAAAGTCCCCAAGCTTAAATGGTGATCAAAATGATCTAAAGGCATTGATTCCATTCACACTGATTCATGCACAAATATCCTGTTCACATCTTTATCCTAGTCTTAAATATGGGAGCTCTGGTAGCATAGTGGCTAAGACACTTGCCTGCTAACCAGACGGCTGGCGGTTCAAACCCACCAGCCACTCCTCGGAAGGAAGGTCGGGCAATCCTACTTCCGTAGTGATACTGCCTCGGAAACCCAAGGAGGGGTTGCTATGAGTCGGGTTTGACTCGATGGCACATAACAACAACATAACAACAGTCTTAAATATATAATACACATATGAAAGAACTAAAGTTCAAACATCATAATTTCTCAATATAGATTTCTATTAAGAAGTTCTGATGACACTGTAGTTAAGGTATTTGGCTGCTCAGCAAAAGGTAAGTGGTTCAAACCCACCAGCCACTCCATAGGAAGTAGATGAGGTAATATACTTCTGTAAAAACCTGATGGGGGTTGCTATAAGTCAGAATAGATTTGATGGCAGTGTGTTATAACTTCCTATCCTCATGCTGATAACCTCACCTATGTGGAGATGTTCAATGTGAGATACAAACACACCAAGAGACAAATAGATTATTTTAAGAGATACAAGAAAAGAAATATTAAGACTTTAATCCAAAATTATATCTTTTTAGTCTATGCTTGAATATTATTTACATGTCAAATATTATACCTGCATAGAAATTTAGTATCTGTAAATGCAGTGCAGATATTGGAGTGCATTCTCATTAATTATATGTTGATCAAATACTGGACAAAAAGAGTTTGGGATTATTGCCTTTTGCTCTGTTAAAACAATTATGCATTCTAATGACATATAGAATCAAGATTTTCTATTTATCAAGCTTACACTGTTTGGGCCCCTAGTAAAAGTCTATGGCTATATGATTTAATTCCAGTAACACCAATGAGATAGGTATCTGAAGTCACAAAGGTATTATATGATGCAGCCAGAATATGACTATCTCCAAGGAAACAGTCTTTTAGTTTTGCTCTTTGATTGATAAACCTGTACAGGACAGAGAAGGCAGTGGGCAGATTTCCTCCAAGTGTACTCAGCTCTAACAGTTGGGGCAGATCTCAGTTCCCCACCTTTATAACACAACACATGGACTCCTTAGTTCCCTGTTCAATCATGTCTCTGAAACTTTGCTGACACTGTAGAGAACTAGGTTCTAACCAAGATGGAGATCAAATGCTCTCTTCCACAAAATTCATTCCCTTGCAATTCCTTTCTTATATATAAGAAAATTAAATTAATCCCTACTTATTTTCAGGTTTATTCTAGCTTTTAATATACTTCAAAAAGAATGGCTGTGTAATTTCCAATTTTTTAGAAACATCCCATAAAAAACTAACACAAGGATTTACTTGTGTGTAGTTGTTCAGCACTTTTAATTCCATAGATCAACAGAAAGCACTGACACATAAACCGGCCTTTATAATTATGACTTAAACTATACTAACAACTTATACTGTCTAGAGCTAAACAATTCACAAAGGACTTTATATAATTATACTCTATAGATCTACACATACATGCACATATATATGAAGTAATTTTAAAATGTAAAATACATTAATAATAAACATTGAAAACAGAGTTTTTAATTGCTATTCTAAGAATTTCAAAGAATACGATTTCATAGGCTTTTCCAATTCTTTCAGTTTTTTAAGGATAGTCATAAAAGGATTATGTATTTTAAATATAAAACAGACAGTTTATATATTTTTCTCTACAAAATTTAATAAGTAAATGAGTTTTTAGGCATGTCTTTTATATTGAACATTTCATGTGATTATTGATATTATTAACCCCTGCGGAGGGTATTAAGCAGATAATATCATTTCTCTTACCCTGAAGAAATGGAGGTCCACACGCTTAGAGTTATTTTTCTATTTTGCCCATCTAGTTAATAGCAGAGCTGGAATAGAACAATACATCCATGTTCTTTCCTCTAGACCTAAATATTACATGTAGTTCCCCTTCGCCTCATCTTCTTAATCCGAAATAAACAGCTTTTCAACAAAGAAAGCACACAGGACCTAAACTATACTTTGAATATGATTATGAAGTTAATCTAATATGTTAGGATAATATCCTAATCCTCTGTGGAAGAGAATTATGATGGTACTGCATTAAACCTTACAGTCAAATTTAGACATTGAGACTACGTGAAAAACATTTTGTGAACATTATACAACACACATGAGGAAATATATGCTTTCTCCTTCCCATATTCCTTTCTCTTGCAGATCTGAAATCTGAGAAGCAGCAATATTTATTATTAAAGGGCAAAACTATGTGAAAATAGGAAGATTCAATAGGCTGTAGATTTTTTTCATTAAAATTGTTTAGCTATTCATTAATTTATCCATTTACTCTAGAAATATATGCTAAGTTTTTATTCTGTGCTAGCAAAAAATTCTAGCTCCTGACAAAACATGGTTCCTTAAACTTAAAAGTTGACAGATCATAAAATAGAAGCAAAGATGTAACAGAACATACAAAGCCTATAAGTTTTGTTTGTTCCTTTCTTTTGTTATTTTTGTTTTCAATATACTATTTTTGTTTGTTTGTCTTTATAAAACCCCTATTTGAAGGTTGGGCAATCTACTTCCATAGTGGTACTGCCTCAGCAACCCAAGGAGGGGTTGCTATGAGTCGGGTCTGACTAGATGGCACATAACAACAACAACAACAACAATTTTGTCAAAAAGTCCCAGTGGTGTTAATAGCCTCTCCCGAGAAGCACACATTTTTTTATTTGCTCATTTTCTACAACTAAACTAGTCCTTGATTTCATCCTGAAATAACCTTGGAAATTTTTTTTTTTTTTTTCTGTCACAAATCATGAGCTTTTATCTCTTTCTTTTTTCTATCTTTAATATCTACCAGACACAGAATAAATGTCAGAAAATGTAAGTTCATAGAATGATGAATTTTTTTCTTATGGAAATACCCATAATACCACCACAAAATTAAGATCTAGAGCTTGTCTAACATCCCAGAAGGCTGTTCTGTGTTCCCTTACTGTCAAAGCATCATCTGTAAGGATTATTACTATTCTGAATTCTATCACTGTTGTTGTTGTTAGGTGCCACTGAGTGATTTCCAGCTTATATTGATCCTAGGTACAACAGAATGAAACACTGCCTGATCTTGTGCCATCCTCACAATAATTGCTATGCTTGAGTCTACAGTTGCAGCCATTGTGTCAATCCACTTTCCAGAAGGTCTTCTAGACTATACATTAGCATGTTTTTTCTGTTCTGGAAGAATTATCTTTTAGAAGATGATTTCATTCATTTTATTCTCTATGTAAGAAATTATAAACAATTGATGTGTTGGGGAAAAAAAAATCTCACATCCATTAAAAAATCATGTCACATAAATATGTCCTAAGGAATGTTACTTTGTTCCCCTTATATAGAACATAAGGTCCAGAATACGAGAAACAGGATATTTTCAAACTAATTGAAAGGAAGTATTACCTCCTCCAGAAAACCATGGCTAATATACTAGCTAAATCCAGCTATTAAGGAATACCAAATAGTGATCACACACTACTACTACTACGAGAGACCCTGGCAGCCCTTCAGGAGAAAAGACCTAGAATTCTGCTCCCATAAAGATAACAGCTTAGAAATCCAGTGGGATAGTTCTCTGTTGCAAGGGAGTCACCATGAATCCAAATAGACTCAACTGCACCTAATAACAACAACAGCAGATTTTGCATTCAAATGGAATGTTACCATTGTAGGGGGAGGAAAAAAAAAAAAAAAAAAAAAGTGCATACATACCATTGCAAGAGGGTAAGACTCTGTTCCAGGCTGGTTTTCCATCCGTACCAATCACACATGTCATGGATGAGGGGTCAATAATCTTATATCCAGAATCACACTGGTAAGTAATTGTTGAGCCAAGTTTGAAGTCTAATCCAATTCTTGTCCCATTCATTATATTTCCTGGATCAAAACATGCTTCCCGTGGTTTCTCTGTAAAAGCAATGGATGTAAACACGATAAGGGAAAGAATCATAATTCTTGTGTGGTTGGTTGGTTAATTGGTAGTTTGCTTGTTTTTGTAGTACCTAGAACAGGGTCTGGCATATGCTCAGAGATATTTCTTAATTAACTAATAAACCACTTAACCTATTAATTACATATCATGAGACTAGTTTTTAAATTAATTTTAATAAATTATATCTCAACTACATTTAATTGTAGAATTGATGCTAAATTAATTTCATTTAGGTTAAAAAAGGTGTAGCATTATATTTTTATAAGCTTATCTCTTTTAATGGGAGCTCTGGTGGCACAGTGCTTAAGACACTTGATGGCTAACCAGAAGGCTGGTGGTTCAAACCCAGAAGCCACTCCTCGGAAGGAAGGTTGGGCAATCTACTTCTTTAGTGATACTGCCTCAGAAAACCAGGGAGGAGTCATTATGAGTTGGATTCAACTCAACTGAAGTGAGTTTGTTTGTTTGTCTCTTTTAATAGCTATAGAAATTGATTCTGGAAAAATTAAAGTGCATTTTCTGACTTTTGTAAAAAGTCATTGCAAAATGTGGCTGCACATGATTTTAGTATAAAACTAGAAAATTGGATTTCTCAAATGGAGATTTGAATAAGTCATGTAAATAAAGTTCTTTCTTAATTAAACTTAGCCAGATGAGTGCATTTACTAGCCCATAAAATCAAGTACTATGTCTACTATTTAGACATCATCTAAAAAATAGATTTGATGCATTGAACACCAATGATCAAATGACCAATACCAGAGGAATTGTGGGATGATATCAAGAACATCAGCCATGAATGATGATGTTCATCTTTTTATGTCATTAAAAAGACAAGAAAGGAATAACAGACAAAAATGGATGTCAGAAGAAAATCTGAGACTTGCCCTTAAGCAGAGTAGCTAAGCAAATTGAAAAAATGACAAGATAAAAGAGCTGAACAGATTTCAAAGAGCATCTTGAGAATATAAAGTCAATTACTATAATGAAATCTGCAAAGACTTGGAGTTAGAAAACCAAAAGGGAAGCACAGGCTGGGCATTTCTCAAGCTGAAAGAACTGGAAAAAAAATTAAGCCTTGAGTTGCAACATTGAAAGATTCTCTGGGCAAAATATTGAATGATGCAAGAAGCATCAAAAGAAGATGGAAGGAATACACAGAGTCACTGTACTGAAAAAAAAAAAAAACTGATGGATGTTCATATATTTAAGGAGTTGGCATATGATCAAGAACCAACTGTATTGAAGAAAGAAGTTAAGGCTGCACTGAAAGAACTGGTAAAGAATGAGGCTCCAGGAATTGATGAACAATATCATTAATATCACAAGCAACTAAAATCTTACTGAAGATAATTCAAAAACAGTTGCAGAAGTATAGTGACAGAGAGCTTCCAGAAATGCAGGCTAGATTCAGAAGAGGACAATGGATAAGGGACATCATTGCTGATGTCAGATGGATCTTAGGTGAAGGCAAAGAATACCAGAAGGATGTTTAGTCATGTTTTCTTGACTATTCAAATGCATTTAGTTGTGTGGATCATAACAAATGATGGATAACATTGAGAAGAATGGGAATTATAGAACACTTAATTGTGCTCATGAGGAACCTGTACATAGATCAGGAAGCTGTTGTTTGAACAGAACAGGGGATACTGCATGGTTTAAATCAAGAAAGGAGTGAATCAGAGTTGTATCCTCTCATCATATTTACTCAATATGTATGCTGAACAAATAATCTAAGAAGTTGGATTATATGAAGAAGAATATGGCATCAAGTTTGGAGAGAGACTCATTAACAACTTCCAAAAATAGGCAGATGACACAATTTTGCTTGCTAAAAGTAAGGATGACTTGATGCACTTAGTGATTGAGATTAAAGAATAAACTCTGCAGCTTGGATTACGTCTCAATATAAAGAAAACAAAGTCCTCACAACTAGTCCAGTAAACAGTTTCATGACAGATGGAGAAAAGATTGCAGTTGACAAGGATTTCATATTACTTGGTTCTATGATCAATACCAATGGAAGCAGCAGTCAAGACATCAGAAAATGTACTGCATTTGGTAAATCTGCTCCAAAAGACCTCTTTCAAGTGATGAAGAGCAAAAATGTCTCCTTGAAGACTAAGATGTGCCTAACTCAAGCCATGGTATTTTAAATCGTCTCTTATGCATGTGAGAGCTGGACATTGAATAATGAAGACTGAAGAAGAGTTGATGCTTTTGAATTGTGGTGTTGGCAAGGAATACTGAAAGTACCATGGACTACCAGGAGAACTAACATATCTGTCCTGGAAGAAGTGTAGCCAGAATGTTCCTTGGAAGGGAGAATGGCCAGACTTTGTCTCATCTACTTTGGTCATGTTGTCAGGAGGAACCATTCCCTGGAGAAGGATGTCATGCTTGGTAAAGTGGAGGGTCAACAAAGAAGGGGAAGGCCCTGAATGAGATAGATTCACATAGTGGCTGCAATCATGGGCTCACGTATAGCAAGGATCATGAGGCTGGCACAGGACTGGGCAACGTTTTGTTATGTTGTGCATAGGGTCTCTATGAATTGCAGACAACTTGATGGCAACAACTTGATGGCAAACTAACAACAACTGTGTCTGACAGGTAATAATTACTCATCAATTCTATCTTATTTGCAGTGTGTGATAGTTGGAGCTGTGTGTCAACTTGGCTGGACCCCAGTTCTGTGTGGTTGTTCCCATGATGGGATCAGATGACTGTGTTCTGAGTGGCCAGTCTGCCCAAGGGGAGTTTCCCTAGGGGTGTGGCCTGCTTCCAAGATATCCAGGGACATCCTGGGAAGAGACACATTCTTTGAGGGATTGGAACCCTGGTTGCTCATTCACAAACTTCCGTGAATGAGCAGCCCACTGCTCGGCCTGGAGATCTTGGATTGTCTTTCGTTAGAGTCAACAACCAGTGTACTACCTGCCAGCCTTGAATTTCTCGGCCCCCTGTGCTTATGGAAGCTAAGGCTGCCACCAGCCCCTTTCCTCCAGAGACTTGGACTTGCCGGCTTCTATACGTTTGTGAGCCATTTTCCTAAGATAAATTTCTCTCTCTCTCTCTAAATATATATATACACTTTGCTGTTTTTTGTGTTTCTCTAGAGAACCCAATCTAACACACAGTGATAGTTCAAATTGTTGTTGTTAGATGCCATCAAGTCAGTTATTCCTAATAGTGACTCAGTGTATAAAAGAACGAATAACTATCTGGCGCTGTGCTATCCTCACAGTTACTCCTGTGTTTGAGACCACTGTTGAAGCCACTGTGTCAATCCATCCCATTGAGGGTCTTTCTCTTTTTTCCTGACCCTCTGCTTTGCCAAGCACAATGTCATTCTCCAGGGACTGGTTCCTTCTTATAATATGTCCAAAGTACCTAAGACAGAGTCTCACAATCTTCACTTCTAAGAGACATTTTGGCTCTACTTCTTCCAAGACCAATTTGTTCATTTTTCTGTCAGTCCATAGCATGTCCTCCCCAGTCATATTATTTTGAGTGCCTTCTAAACTGAGAGGCTCATCTTCTGACAATATTCTGATGCTATTCATAAAGTTTTCAATCACTGTTTTTTTTTTTTTAGAAGTAGCTTGCCAGGTCCCTCTTCCTAGTCTGTCTTAGTTTAGAAGTTCTGTTGAAACCGGTCCACTATAGATGGGCCTGCTTGTATTTGAAATATTGGTGTCATGGCTTCCAGCATCAAAGCAACAAACTGACATATATGGGTAATGGAATACATATATATATATAATATAAAATTAAAATACAAAAAACTTTGAGAAGTCATGCAGGAAGATAAAAATGTCTGTGTTAATTCCATTTTAAAAAAATAATCTACATATTGACATGAGGAAAACAGACATTTCTTTGAGAAATGTTGACTTCACCTAGTATAATAATTTACTATAATATTTGGTACACATACTTTGTTCAAAATGAAATGTGTATTTACAAATATATCTGCTGGAAATTTTTTGAAGGGTCTGTATTTTTGTTATTCCTAGAGTGTCTCAATAAACATTTTGTAGCACATTTAACCAGTGTTCTAATATCTTTATAAAACTTAGATCTTTCAAATGGTAGGAAAATTTTGAAAACTCCTCATACCTGCCTTAAATCCCATATGAACATTTATTATAAGCAAATAAGGGACAGATAAAGAATGCTGTATAAACTATACAAACTATTCCATTTTTCGATTGTTTAGTCAATTATTCAACAGAATATACTGAACAGAAATATAAAAAATATTTTTTCCACTATAAAAAATAACAACTTTTAATTTATGTCAATATAGATTTTTTGCCTTTTAGATGTTTGAAAATATTTTAGGAATATTTTAATTTCTTTAATTTTCTTTTACTGTTTGGTCACATATAAATCACATTCCTTCCTATTTTATACTACTAATTGAGATTTCCAATGGCAGGTTTTTATTCAAATGAACTGCATCCAATCTTTTGGTTCCATTTACCTAGTTGTCAGTTCAGGATATTTGGTAATAAATCATTGGAACTTTTTTTTTTTTTCCCCTTACAATTTGTCATGTTTTCTAATTAATGACTTCATAATATGGTGTGCTCTTGTGCTCTGCTGTTGTTCATGTCCATTCCAGTTAAGAGTATTTTCGACTAGTCCTGTACTTGAGGCTGAGTAAATTAAATGTGCCAGATCCCTTACATTATTTCAGAGCATGGCTGCCCTGTTGCTCCTTCTATTTCTCACTATATCTCAGAATTCATTCTGCAGCCTGCTTCATTGACCATAACATGAGCTTTTCTTTCGCTTGATGCAATAGTATCATCATTCTTATCTTTACTTGCTTTCCTGATTTTTTTTTTTAACAGATTCCACTGAAGAACTTTTAAACCATTAAGAGCTATATCCCCCATTTAGATAACTTTCTGCTTACCAAATAATCTAAACAAAATGAAAAAGCTTTCTTGAAATCATGGTATAATACTTTACACTTCCATTGTTCATTCATCCATTGACCCATTTACCCCAAGCAAAGTTTTAAACATCTTTACATGCTAGGGAGTATACTAAGTGTTGGTGTAAACCACAAAACACTTAAATCCACCTCTGTCAATTCAATTCTGACTCCCAGAGACCCCTATCCCTTTTCCAAGTCTGTAAATCTTTACAGAAGTATATTGCCTTATCTTCCTATGGTGAAGCAGCTGGTGGATTTGAACTGCCAACCAGCTAGTTAACATCCAAATGGTTTACCCCCTATACTACCAAGTGTACACTTTTAGATGAATTTTGCTGTCATTGTTTGACTCATTATAGAGTAGATATAGTTAAGTGCGGTTCATTGAATTCTTGTTAATAAAGAAACCATATGCTAACATGACAAATTCTTAAAAGTGATGTTTTTTAATTAGTTGTTTATGAGCATGCAGTCTCTATACAAAAAGTACTTATTGTTAAAATGTATGCATATTTATACCAAACTCACTGCCATCAAGTTGGATCCAACTCATAGCAACCCACCCCTCCTTGGGTTTCTTAGGCAGTATCACTCTGGAAGTAGATTGCCCAATGTTCCTTCCGAGCAGTGGCTGGTGGGTTTGAACCTCCAGTCTTCTGGTTAGCAGTCTAATGCCTTAGGCTCTATGCCACTAGAGAGCTCTGTGTGTGTGTGTGTGTGCGTGTGTGTGCACTACAGACAAAAGGAGGGGCTACAAATATTTTGTACATAAAAAACAATTGAGATAAAACTATATCATTTTAGTGTATGTTAATACAGTCATCCTGAAGAAACAAGTTAGAAGATATTAAAATAAAAATTAAAGCAATGCTTAAAAGTCACCAAATTCTTCATGACACAGACTATAATTTGTTTTTAATGACTATAATCTTTTAATCTCCTATCCCTCTTTTTATCCTTTAAATTAAAGAAGAAATGTCCTTGGGAATTTTTTTCTGCTGGTGATATAGCGCTCCCTTCCCCAGGCATATGTTTGCATTTTATGAAGTAAACACATAAGGAGATAATTCATAAAGAAATCCAAATAATTTACAAAATCCAGCTGAAAAATAATTTCCACACACATTAAGCTGAGCATAATACCTTTAAATTCAATGGCGAATCCAGACAGGCCCACAGATGCGTCACTCCGGAATGCCAGAAAAAGACTATTTCCACTACTTTCTATTCTTTCCGGGGCTTGAGAACCTTGAAAACTTCCAATGAGAGGGCTGTTTGAATCCTCTCCTTCATAGATGTGTAGAAAATCATAGCTAGGCTCCATATTGAAACTAAAAAACAGAGAAAAGTTATGTATGTAATGCATATTTCTTTTATCTTTCAGAATATAATGCATTTGAGACTGTACTGGTGATTAGTTTGTATAATAACAAAGAACAAATTTATTGCTGTCGAGTTGATTCCAACCCATAACAACCCTATAGGCCAGATAACTTCCCTGTAGGGTTTCCAAGGCTACTTATCATTACTGAAGCTGACTGCCACATCTTCTTCCTGCAGAACAGCTGGTGGGTTCAAATAACCAACCTTTCAGTTAGCAGCTGAGCTCTTTAACTACTGTGCTAGCAGGGCTCTGCTTTGTGTAATAATTAACAAAATTATGACAACTCAAAAGTTAAATATAACAATAATATATAATGTTTAAATACCATTAATATAGCAGATATCAATTATTTTAAAATATAACATATAGTACTATAAATCACATAACTACTATATTCAATATAATAACATTTTGAAGATATCACTGGCAAAATTCATTATAACAATATAGATATAGTATCTTTCTCTATACCTATAAAATTGCTAATGAAGTACAGTTTGAAATACTGGACTCAAAAGGTAAGTATTTCTCCTAACATTTAATTTTTATGTGGATAGTATTAGTTTTAAAAATATGCATCTTAATTATTACTGACTACTCTTAAAAAATTTTTTTGGTTGTTCTTTTTTGTTTATTTGCTTTTACTTTAAAAATGTAATTGCCCAACAATGGACTCTTTCTCTCACCCAATATTAACATATTGCCAAATCTCAAATAGTCTAACAATTAAAACCCACAGTTCTCAAGAAGTATGCTGATTTAAATGTCCATGCCATTTGTGATGGGAAGGCCAACATAGACTGTGAGCTTTAAAATCATACCTACTCTAGAGTAAAAGACTAAACTTGGTTCAGATATCTAAGACTCTGAGTGATCAGAATAAAATTATAAATTAGAATGAAGTATTAAAATAATGCATTATGATCGGCCCTACCATTTTTTCATTGATCACTATAGGAGGCTCTTTTTGTCTTTAACATGAGATTAATTCCTGGAGCTACAACTTGCTTTCCCTTCAATAGATAGTTTACCTGTGTAAAATGATAGAGTCAAAAATTTTTATATTCACCAAAATGTACTATTGTTTCTCTAGTGTATCAGAAGATTCCAGTAATTAAACAAGAAAAGAAGTTCCAAATTTTTCCGCTGCATTCTGAATGACACGGCAAAGTAGGGAAATGATCATGGGACCAACCTCAACTATAACCAGGTGTTGCATTTTATGTGAAGCTGACACATACTCTGACATTAGCTCTCTGAATATGTTTGTTAAAATAAGTTGTATAATGTTCCTTATTCTGTTTATTTGATAAGCTCACTAAAGTAAAAAACACAGATTTTTTTTTAAAAGAAAGGAAAAAGAATGGACTTCTAAGCATAAAAGGGACACTTGGAATTGTACCAACTAAGTCAATTTTGATTGAGATGATACTTTTATTTAGAAAACCTTACAAAGATGCTATGAGGAACTGATCATGTTCCATTTCCAATATAAGCATAGATAATTATTGTTAAAGGAGTCCACCAAACTCACTGCCGTGGAGTCGGATTTAACTCATAGCGACCCCTCCTTGGGTTTCTGAGGTGGTATCACTATGGAAGTAGATTACCCCAACCTTCCTTCCAAGGAGTGGCTGGTGAATTTGAACCACTAGCCTCCTGGTTAGCAGTCAAATGCCTTAGGCATTATGCCACCAGAGCTAGCAAAGGAGCGCTGGTCATTAGTTAAGCTTTCTGTTGTTAACCCAAAAGTCATCAGTTTGAACCCACCAGCTGCTCTTTGGGAGAAAGATGTAAGAGGAGTCTGTTTCTGTAAAAGATTTACAGCCTTGGGAACCCTAGGGTGTAGTTCTACTCTGTCCTAGGGTCTCTAAGAGTCAGAATCAACTTGAGAGCAATGAGTCAGCTGATTATTGTTGTAGACTATTTTTTTAACCCTGGGAATACAATCAAACTTCGAAAAAATTATCTTCTCTTTTTGGATGTAATGTAATCCATGCAGAGATGTCTGTAGTGAAATTTATAATTAGTTATGGCTTACTTAGTTAATTGTGGTGTTATTTCTATACTAGCTATGTACTTTTATGAGACCCAATAATAGGCCAAAGTCAGGCCAAACTTTAAACTGATATTAATTACAGTTGCAATTTTCACAGAGTATGAGCCCCATAGTCTAGAGAGTAATGTGATGAAACATCCTTCCCCAAAGACTCAAAGCACCTAGAAGCTCCTATGTACTCCAGGTCATACAATTCATTGTCTTTATTATTAGTAAGGGCAGACCCAACTTCCCATAAAAAGGTATACCTAAATTTGTCATACACTTTAAATAACATAGCTTGAGCTGCTCAGTTGCCACTGTCAGTGTCCTTCTTTGCATTTGGGCAATTGAACATCACTGTCCAACCATCTAATACTTTGCACATCACCCTGCCTAGTAAATAGGTCTCAGTTGCTGACATCCTAGGATAGCTTTCCCCAGAGCCTACTTCAGCTATTCAGATCAGAGTGGAGCAACAGATAAGTGACCTTTCATAGAATCTGAGAATTGGAAGTATTTTAGTTCTACCTTCCTCACGAGAGGTAAACAAAGTGCAGTGAAAAAATGTCTTACATAAAATTGTCTTATATATATATCATATCAAATGACCTGTGCTTTAGAAACATTTATAATTTGTTGCTTTGACAATGAAAGGCAGGAAACTCTTACTAGTAAAGGTCTGTGTTCTTTAGCTTTTAATTTTGATTCATTTATTATGGGATGGGAACAGAGGTGTTTCCTGCTTATAATGAAGGCACTACTAGAATTTAGCATTAAAAAAAAAAAAGAAGAAGAAGAAAAGATATCCAAAAATATAGCCAGCAAATTTAATTGGCTTGTGTAGTAGCTTAGTGACAGAATAAAGCATTCATCATTTATAGCAGCATTTGTAAATTCAGGAAATTGTGGGTTGTCAAACCACTTAAAATTTAAAGTTGTAGAGGTTTAGAATTACTGACTCAGAGTTGAGCAAGAGGAGAAAGTGAAAGGAGATAATGATACCTGGGCCTTGGGTATTGATGTAAATATCTCAGGAAAAATGAAACTTGACCAATTGATACAAAAAATAATTGAACCCCTTTGCTCTAGATAGGTTAAGTGATCAATTGGACAGGCTTACAGACCCACTCAAATCTTAATATATCACATTTATTTGGCTCAAAAATCAAAATGTAAATTTGGAAAAGATGTTGAAATTTGAAAAAATATAATAATGTGATGTTCTTACAGAATTATTTCTAAAAGATAACCAAATATTAAGATGCTTTCCATTTACAGTAGTAGCAGGGAACAAGCACTTAAAGAAAAAAGATATATGCTTAGTAATTCAGACTCCAAAACAATGAAATGTGGGGGAACTTTCCTTTTCAAAGCTCTAGCAAGTCATTGTTATCTTAATAATAACAACAGTGTTAACCTTGGTGAAGTCAAAGAAGGTGTGTATAGGAGATGAAACAGTTATCACACATTGAAAGAAATATGGGACCGACATTAATAGATTATACTCCACATATCTATATCCCTTTTTTCATAACTTTTAAATATTTTGCAAGTTAAGCCTTCTCCTATGGAACACATTGTGTTCAGGACAGTATTTAAAAGTAATGCTTGGTTCACCATGTGAATCCTAGTGTAAGTAGAATGCTCCAAAGGAAAATAATGCATTTCTGTTTGTGTCATTTTGCAGGCTCATGTAGTTCCAAGTAGAGATAAATTCGGGGCGTAGGTAGAAATAAAATTGGGGGCTCCATGAAGCAATAAATGAAGCAATATTTAGGTATGGCATTTCAAATTCTACTAGAAACAGGTATTCCACAAGATTTGATACCTTTTGAATATCAAGGCAATGACAAAATCTGGGTTCACTTTTATTCTCCAGTCACATTCTTTCCCAGGAGGATATGGTTGTGGGTAGTTAGGTGATAAAATAACACCTGCTGGGCCAGTCAGATTCCCTCCACATGCAGCTGTCACAAAAGAGGAAAATATAGGGAGGAGAACAATGCTGGTCATTGTGAAATGAAACATCACACAAGTCTTTTTTGGGGAAAAAAAATTGCTCATTCATCAGCATTTTCCTCTTCAAAGAGACCATGAACTAGATTATCAAATAATCATCCATATAACATTTACCATCCCAACATACCCAATTTATCATGTAATGAATTGTAAATAATTTTTCCCACCACTTTTAGAAAGGATTTTCAAACTTCTGATAAATATAGCTGTCGTTGTTGTTATGTGCCTTCGAGTCGGACCCGACTCATAGCGACCCCTCCTTGGGTTTCTGAGGCAGTATCACTACGAAAGTAGATTGCCCAATCTTCCTTCCAAGGAGTGGCTGGTGGGTTTGAACCGCCAGTCTTCTGGTTAGCATTCAAGTTCCTTAGGCACTATGCTACCAGAGCTTCCGATAAATATAGCTAGCTTTCTATATTTAGAATTTTACCAAATTAAACTAAAGAATTACCTTAATCTCATGCACTTTGCAACACATACATATACATAGGGAAAAAATATATATATTGGACAGGAAGAAAAAAGCATCTATATGAATATCTTTAATTTATATATTTTACCTTTTTTGTGATTTATGAAGATATTGATTACTTATTGTCTAATTGTCAAAAGCATTCCTCATGTTTTATAAGAATCATCTATCTTTTGTTTACTCTCGTATCGCCAATGCCTAGCACAATTCATTGCTCATTAAATATTCAGGAAATATTTGTTGAATGAATGGTTGCATGTTATTTTGTATATTTCTCCAATCTTCTGATATATGTAGATCTTAGATTATTTTTCCCATTTTGAAAATGAGAAAACAAACACTGTAAACAAATTTAAATGACCTCTAAGGATCATAATCAATAACAGGCTGAGCTACAACACTACTGCCTAAAAAGAGTATTTAATGATAATGGTTAATATATTATTATTAATAGAAGCAACACTTGAGTAATAGCAATTTATTCACTCATCAATTTTTAAGTAAATATGTAAGATAATGATTGTATAGTTAATTGTATAGTTAAAAGGAAACCCAATTTTTTTTCTTGAGCCTGAAAGTGTTCTGGACTCTTTCATTTACTAGATAATTTCTCTTCAATTTTATTGTACATGAAAGGCAATAAAACATTGCAACATTCAATAATATGCAAAAAACGTGTTTTAGATAAGTGTGGATGTTATGTTCAAAAGTTCTTCATATCAGCTACTATGATTTGCCCCATGCTGTTTTAAAAAGTGATGTCAACTGCATTAAATCGTTGTATTTTCCTTAATCCATATTTTTTTCCAAATAATTTATTGTATATATGTTAGCAAAAACAAATTAGAAGAAAGGAAAATGCTCTAATCAAGATCATTTTCCACAACAAAAAAAACGACTTTTTAATAAATAAATGAAGGTAATATAAATAAGATGAATATGCATTACAATTCTCAAGGATGAATCTTTAAATGCATATTTAGTTTCCTTGAAATTTAATTTTCTATAAGAAGAAATATAACTACTGTCTAACAAATTTTTTTGCCTCATAATTTCACAGTCTAATCAAGGCAAACTGAAAGTAATATTGCAGGATTTTATTGATAATAAATTCTCATAGTTGTACACTTAATAAGTAAAATATGATATAGTTTTCATAAGAATGATTAAAATCATATTTACCCTACTATGCAATTTCATTTTAATAAATTAAACTGAAATAATTTTATCATTTTTTCAGAGGACAATACTGCTCCCAGAATTAAGAAGATGCTGACAGTGTAAAGGCATGGACACAGGCATATAGATGTATAGACAAATTAGGGAGGTGATGCAAATGTGGCAAAAGAAGGCACTTAAAGATCTGAAAAGATTCTACTCTATGCAGGTTTGAAGGATGAAAAATGACAGATTCAGGGCACAGGCTACAGGGTGCAACCAGCAAGGAGAGTTCAGAGATAAGATCCAAATAATGATTATTTAAATGAAACAAAGAGGACATCTTCTCTGATTCATACAGATCCCAAGAGGTGTTTTCAGATGAGACTATTTAAAAGCTTTAAAGTTTAATAAAGTACTACTGTCTTGTCTTGTTCATTCTCTTTTGGTTCAGTATTTGCCATTTTAGGTTCAATAGAATTTAATTAGAGATCTTGCAAAATATTTAAGATAAGATTATGTTTTAGTAGAATATGCACCTCAGAGACTCTAGGAAATTCTTCAGAAATAATATATATGAATATAGAACCTTTAAGTTCATCTAAATCCATAATCTTGTATCCCAAACTCTTAAGGGTATATAAACCCTTATCCATCAGGGTTTAAAGCAAAACTCCAAAAGACACATCAATGATCCTGTATCGAAACATTTGAATACTGACATACTTAAATGGGATAAATAGTTTATAAACAGCATACTTCAGGTAAAGCCTAGTTGTTGTCACTAAGTACATTTGCTACAAATTTATGATGAAATTTGTTTTTCATAGATCTTTAGAATTTGGATTAAGAATAAGGGATTATGGACAACAATAAAAATGAAATGTAATTATGGAGGCTTTGGAGGAGCACTTCACTCAGAAAGTAAAAGTGCTTTGAAAGAAAGGCTTGGGAATCTACTTCTAAAATATCAACCACTGAACAGTTCTCCTATGACATATACCCCATGAATTGTGGTCAGCTGGACAGTGACTGGTCTTTTAAAGTGTTGTTTGATTTGGAGAGTCAGTCTTGATAAAGTCAATTGAAAAAGTGAGAAGGTGGAGCCTTCCCATAAGATTCTCCTCACAGCACTACATTAAGAAGTGATAAAAAGTGAGGTCTTAAATTGACTGCTAATCAGAAGGCTGGTGGTTCAAACATTGGAAGGAAGATGGGGCAATCTACTTTGGTAGTGATACTGCCTTGGAAACCCAAGGAGGGGTCGCTATGAGTCAGGTCCGACTCAACGGCACACAACAACAAACACCAACAAATTATACTACAAGAAAAAATTAAAAGCAAAGACAGCTGGTGAATGTATTTGTAACATACAAAAGATATGAGATGTTAAAATATTTTATAAAAGAGAATGTACAGAAAACAAGAGGAAAAACACTACTAAAAGGGAAAAAAGAAAATTAACAGGAAAATAAGGAAAGAACATATTCAAATGGTCAATTCACATTTGAAAAAAAAAAAAAAA